AGTAGACTACACTACAGTATGACAAGTACATATTCATTATGTTATTTATCATTGAGAGTGAATAAGATAAAAATGTTAAATGTACATTAGTAACAGTTTTTAATTTACTGTTATTGGCATTCCGAACTTTAACTAACCAGTTTCTCTTTCCAGATGTGGATCCTGACCGAATTAGTGTTGGATATCCACATGTCACAAGTTTTAATCTGTTTAGTATATAGTTAGTAATGAAGCCCAGGATGCGCATTCGTCCTGTTTGGGACTTATCAGTTGAGTGTACTTGTGTATCAGTTATAATATCAAGATTGAGACTCGAATCCAGAACCTTTCACTTCAAATGGGCTGATCACTATCCTTTCAGTTAAGGAGTATAGGATATTTAATAAGCAGTTCATATATTGTCATTATGATCAATTCGCACACACACACACACCTTAATTACTTCCACCTACATCACTCAAATTCATTAGATATAATTTCATTAACTCGCTTTATATAAAAATCAAATAATATAAAGCAGCCTAACTGTCAAACTATAAACACTGAAGAAAACAAGAACACGTGGGGACAACCTAATGCATTTTAACCTGGCATTGAAAGAGTTATTTGGCAAAATATAACAACCATACGTTTAATTCTTCATTCATAAAACGTCTATCAATTGTCTAAAACTTCATTGTCCCTTCATTTCAATGAAAATCATTCTCTGTGTCCCGTTCTATTCAATTCGATCTCTCCAATCTTCTGTTCCCATGTGTTCCATTTCTAACTAGTGTTATATACTACTTATAATGTCATGAGTAGCACACACTACAACATCATATTCAATAAACTTTCACACATACACATAAAGGTTTAATGTAAATAACAAATCGTCATTCATTTGTTTTAAGATAATATATATTTGTATATATGCGTGATCAGTGTAGTTATAGGGGACGAATATATGTATGACGGATTTCTATGTAACTATGGGAATAGTAATATACATATCTATATGTTATAATTCTATTGATTAAGTACCAAATTCAAATGACTGGATAAAGAAGGTGAATAATAATCCTCTGTATAACTGAATCTGTTTATTTGTTTCGTTATTGAACTAATGATTTGTTTTGTTGTTTCCATGCCCTTTGATGAACTGTTTAATTCTATATTACTGTTGTACTTTAAACATTTAGAGACCAAGTAATAGTAATATAACGGTATAATTTCTTATAACTGTTCTCCAGACACGTCTACGGTATGGATAAGAAACATACAAATACTCAATCATATAAATACCACTCTCTAATCTAAATTGACTGATTTTGTAGCTGATGAAATGTCATTGTCCTTTAGATCACTTCTGATTGCTATCGTTTAACCTTTTTTGAATTAGACTACTTTTAATTAGCTCTTCATATCATTCAGGTGCTGTTTTATCATGAGTTTTCTAAAGATCAGTGAGAAATGTTATACTGAAGATATCAGTCAATAATTTTCACCAATTCGTGTGTTGTAAGCGTATAGCCATTACTATTATCATGCTAACCTATTCCGTTATACCATTCTTAACTAACCTTGAATTACAATGAGAAAAAGTACTTGGACGGTTCACACTAAATGATCTAAATAATGAATATAACTTATCCACCAGAATCAACAGGCCATGTAGTAGCATGAAACAAAACCTCTACCTCATTGGTCAATATTTCACAATTTTGATATCTAATTAAGCGATGTCCTACTGTAGGGATATTATTTTGTGTACTTGGAATATTTAGCGCGATCCTTGAAGACTGTACTTTTTAGTTGTAATAATTGTCTTTCTTCCTCAGTCTTATTGATTTCACAAAATACATTATCTCATAAATCTTCGTTCACAAGGCAAGCTCTCACATGGAATCTTGAAGTCTAAATGAGAAGAGGAAGACCAAAGAACACATTACTACGAGAAATGGAGACAGACATGAAAAGAATGAACAACAATTGGATAGAACTAGAAAGGAAGGCTTAGGACAGAGTGGGTTGAAGAATGCTGGCCGGCGGTCTATGCTCCATTGAAAGTGACAGGTGAAAGTAAGTAAGTAAATAATAAATCTTAGTAACCATTTCGTTTGTTTTTACTGTTTAACAAAAGATGAACATCAGTAACTAGGTTACTAAACATTATAAAATAGTCTCGAAAGATCAAGACAACGATCACGTGATGGTAACCACGCGAGAATTAATTAGAAAATACCAAATAATAATAACAGAGAAATTTTAAGTAGAGTTTTCATTATTCAATAAAGATAAGGAGATGATTTCATTTATAGTAATTATAATTGTGATTGTATTGTATAATGAATATAGATATATATGCACAATGGTTAAGAAGAATGATTTGTTCACTACACAGATTTTCAAAATGTTGTTTTAAGTAAGCCAAATAGTTGAATAATAAAACAATCAGTTTCATGATGGACATGTCGGTAGATGCAGATTACTTGGTTGAGGTCCGCAAGACTATCGTAAACAATGGTTGGAGACTGTGACATGGCTCATAATCGATTACAAGAAAAAAGATGTATACATTATTGGTCTTCCCTTAATTATATACTTACTTACGCCTGTTACCCTTAATGGAGCGTAGGCCGTCAACCAGCATTCTCCAACCCACTCTGTCTTGGGCCATTCTTTTTAGTTCTATCCATTTTTGTTCATTCTTCTCATGTCCGTTTCCATTTCTCGGCGTAATGTGTTCTTTGGTCTTCCTCTTCTCCTTTAGCCTTCAGGATTCCATGTGAGGGCTTGTCTTGCGATGCAGTTGGATGATTTCTTCAATGTCTGTCCTATCCACTTCCAGTGCTTCCTCATTTCTTCCTCCGCTGGAATCTGGTTTGTTCTCTCTCACAGTAGAATGTTGCTGATAGTGTCTGGCTAACGGATCCGAAATTTTGTGTAGACAACTGTTAATAAACACTTGTAACTTCTGGATGATGGCTTTCGTAGTTTTCCACGTCTCTTGACCATACAGTAGAACTGTCCTGACATTTGTATTGAAAATTCTAACCTTGGTGTTGGTTGACAATTGTTTTGAGTTCCAAATGTTCTTCAGTTGTAAATATGCTGCTCTTGCTTTGACGATCCGCGCCCTCACATCTGCATCAGATCCACCGTGTCTTCCCTGAAGAAGGTCAAAATGCGACTCAAAAACAATGAATAAACTGGTCCTGTCCGAAAACTAGAATAAGCTGTGTGGGCTTGACATAGCAATCGACACTACGATATCTACAACATTGAGAATAAAAAAAATACATATAACACCGTAAGGTTGAAATGAACAACGTAAAAGGTAGGATTATCACATTTCCTTAAGTTTATGAAGGGGAAGGAGAATGTGTAATTTCAACTCACTAGATTGTGTGTACAATGAATTGGTGAATAAATATGTTGAAATGTCATCAGGGTAAATGGAGGTTAACTACTGACTTTTTGAATACAATAGTCAAATTTAAGCCTTTTAATTTTGATAACTTGGTACTGGACTACTGACTAATAACTTTAAATAAACTCATTTTATCCACATTGTACTCTGTGGGTACTAGGTGGTATGCTACTTGACAATGAACCCAGCTTCCTCCTTGAAGGCGTAAGTCTCCATATTCGTACATAATGTACAAGTTTACTAGCTAAAAACTGTTAACATCGTGAGTTAGGGATATTATTAAAAATCGCCACTTCAGTTAGTCACAATACCTCAGAAAATGTTGTTTATAAATGGAAAATAAAATGACTCGTCATTGTTTTACTTGAATCTTCCCATTGATGTTTAAGACTATAATTAAACAGTCTCTTATTGGCATATGTGCGTATTGCCTTAATTTACAAGCATTATAAGCACTGATGGATAGTGTCTAGCAGTGAAATTTAGGACGCGTTTCATCCTATTTGGAACTCGTCAGCTGGATGTACCCGCATCTGAGTCGGTATTCACTCTAGGATTCGAACGTAGTACCGCCCGCTTCAAACGCCATCACGTTATCCATTTAGCTACTGAGTCCAGGATTCCACTTCTAGCTACTATCCATCTTTGCTTATAATGCTAGAAAACGAAATGTTTTGTACTATCCAAACTAACTTCAGATTTCATCAGAAGTCGGTATCAGGTGACGAAACATTCGAAAATTACCAAGAAACACTAGACAGCCAACTCATCCCTGTGTTACAATTCGTACCAACTTTTGTTTCAGTAGCGACTTGTTTAGCGTTACACCGTGCCAGTTACAAATCTTTCTTTGGTAATCGTTTCATCATAATCATGATGAGCACACTTAACTTGACAAACATTCACAGTCTTAGTCTTCTCTGAGGAACAAATTTTTAGGTAGATTTATGTAATTGGTCTCCCTTAGATAAAAACTTTGCAAGAATAGTAATATTCTCATAATCGCTTAAATGAAGAACACTTTAACATAGTGTTATATTATACCAATATTACGGACGATAGTTATGATGGATAGTTCCATAGACCATTGAGGACTTTGTATAAAGTGAACAATCAATATAAAAGTAACGCTTTTGAAGAGTTTGATCAATAAATATTTCCAACCGATTGTCTGAAATTTTTAGTCTACGTTTCTTTCGGGAAATCAATAAAGCTAAATGTAATTGTATAATAAAGTTTAGACGCGAGCGTTTCAAGGTATCAATTTATTTAAACTGTTTATCCCCTTTTCTAATTCTCTTGGTTCAATGAACAAGATCTTTCTGATAAATTGCTATACACGATTTAGATATCATGAGTTATATCCACAAACGAACATTAAATTTCATACTGATTACATGACCACCTTTTAACACAACAGCCTGAGTTTGTCGATGTTGAAGGTCGCCCCTCTCTCAAATACGTTTACTTCAATCATTTCAAAATGATACCATTGTTCATCACGTAACATGTGACAACAATTATGAAACGATATATATATATATATATATATATATATATATATATAGCTTAACCTCTTTTCTGACTGGTTATTTCTTACTAATTATTACATAGGTTCATCTCAAGATACGGAACCCATCCCAGAAAGACTAGTCACCTCTATTTTTACATACATCAGACTGTATCATAGTCAAAGTACTGTTCAGTCTATCGGGGTGAATTAAATCGACCTTCGTACTATTAATAATTACGCAGTTGTATTAAAAGCTCCCACCTCAACAACGAAGAAGTCTTGCTATCAGCGTTCAGTGCTCAGATGAGTAAATACATTTCACCTACTCACGTCGTGTTATTAATAACCCAGTTGAGCACGGTAAGCAATACTGTAGATTCGTGCGTCTGGAACTTTGAGCTAAGCTTTTGTATGAAGACTAATGATCATATTCACATTAATTTAATCCGCAGTAGATGGGATGAGGTCTCGAACTAACCACTTAACGACTGAAAATCGAGTATTTCGAATCATAAAGTAGGAAGACAAAACAAAACATTTGAAATATCATTAATATTCTGTACAAGGTATGAAATGATCTTTGAAGTGTAGTTGCTTAGTCTTCACCATTTGATCGACGAGCTCGTTTACCACCACGAGATGATTTACGAGCAAAATATTGTTTTCGTCTTTTACGTTCATTAGCAACTTTAATGGCATTTTCTTTAGCTAATTTTTTCTTATGTTTTGTTACACGAATAATCATTTTCTGTTTTTGACGTTGCATAAAATCTGAGTGTAATTGACGTAGGCGCGTTATTAACTCTTGTCTTGATTCAGATTCCATTTCATCAGCAGTTTTAACTGGAGCAGGTAATTCAGCATTTAAAGCAGCTTTTACAGGATCTCCACCAAGCATAGCTAATGCTTCTTTACGTGATGGTTTAGGTTTATCTGCAAATGGAAGCGCTGCAGCCAATTTGGTTGGTATACGTAAAGGTGCTGTAACATGTATTGGACGATTTATAGGCTGCATATAGAAATAATAGTAAAAACAATTATTATAAATACAAATTTTTACATATTGAGATAAGATGGTGGTTAGAGGTGGTCAACAGGAAACCCTGGACCAGGGTTTCGTGCTACTTGGCACTCCTCAGCAAGGTGTACCTATAATCTTGAGGGAACTGGTGCATGTAATTATCAAGATAAGGGCAGCGTTAACTAAAATTCCTATACTTTAAGTGTATGACTAAGGGTTAAATTGAGATTTTCACAAGAATGAAAGTATGTTAGAGCTTATTTGTAATGGAGAAGATGTAATGAATTACATCTTTTAAACCATGATCATATTCTCTCTATATGAATAGTTTAATGAATACTTAATATTTTAAATTATCAGTGATAATGTTACTACTTCTGTTGTTAACGAGGATAAAAATGGGGACAACCAAATGTATCCCAATACATTCCTATAATATACCCTTATATACAACCTATCTTTTATATACTGCCACCCCTAAATTAACTACTATGAATCCGGTGTTCATATTGTTGTGCTAATGAGGTATGGCAAATTGAACCGATGCATAAATGTGCCTCGTCCTACGTTGTAGCTGACTGATAATACACTGACAATACAATTAAAGAGTCTCTTGGTGAAATATGCGAATCATATATTGAATACTTCATTTGCAGATTTCCATGATTTGTCCTTCACATTCTATATGATTCCTGTGATTCACAATTTCTTTCTAATTCCGTTTGTTCTCTTTAAATCGACCTTCATAGTTTTTTTCTGCCGGGTTTTCCAGTTATGATTGGTGTTAAATACTACTTATGTCTGTCGACATAAGTAGCATACACAACACTTCGACTACTCTACTATTTGTTTTGATAATTTTATCTCACCCTGTAGATGAGTTATAACAACCTGTACATAATTGTCAACTTATGTATTTATTGCGAATGGCTGATTGATAATTAAGGATCAATCAGAAGGGGTTTGTGTGAAGATTTCAGTATTTTCATAGTTAAAAGCATGAGTCAATTGAAGCTAGACCACCATGGAAAACCTAGAAGCACTGGACGGCCATTTCGTCCTATTGTGGGACTCCTCAGCAGCGCGCGTCCACGATCCCACCTCGCGAGATTCGGACCCAGGACCTACCAGTCTCGCGACAGAGCACTTAACCGATGGATGCCAGCTCAGTGTTCTATCAGTTAAGTGCTCTGTCACGAAACTGGTAGGTCCTGGGTTCAAATCTCGCGAGGTGGGATCGTGGATGCGCGCTGCTGAGGAGCACCACAGTAGAACAAAACGGCCGTCCAGCGTTTCTAGGTTTTCCATGGTGGTCTAGCTTCAATTGACTCATGCTTTCAAATATGAAAATACCGATATTTCTCAGAAATAAAATTGATATTAACGACTGCATAGTAGAGAATGTTTGATTTACGACACACAGAAAATTCGGTAGAATGAGAAAACAAAAAGAAAGCACAATGAAAGATGATATATGTGAAGGTTGTAGAACTGTTTGGACGTTAAACTAAAACAGGTGAATGACCTTTTTCACTAATATAGAGATCTAATCCGCAAGGTAATAGAACATCATAAAAACATGCAATCTCATAGTAATCAGTCATGAAATTAGATTTATTAACAAGTTTTATTTTATGTGAACTCCTTATATCCAGTAACCAAGTTTAAACAAAGAAAGTTTGCCTACGTCTTATCACTTAATTAAAAACATTCTGCTACATGGAGACAGTCAAAGCTACATAAAACTTTGTATACTAGACTATGAATTACACTTATATGAAAGTTCAAATAGAGTCTAAATTGATATAACAGAAGAAAAGCCAAACCTTTACAGCACTGAAAAACCAATGCAATAAGAAAAAGGAACCTAAACGCCGATGTAAAAAAAAAGTATTAAAGTATGATCAATGTTACAGCCAAATAAATATTCAGGCACAAATTTAACTACTGAATAATAAATAAGTAGTGTGGCTAATACAAAAAAATAAGTAGAGCTTGTTCACAGATCCTACACTCACTTTATACTGTGAATCTGGATTACATTCTGTTTTGATACCAGCTTCCCACTTAAGTTCACCTAATGTACGAAGTAATCGCCAACCTGTAATATTTTTATCCTTTTCTCCAACAATAGGTAAAAGTCTATTAAGAACTGGATTATAATATTTTGGCAGTTCAACAGCAAAAAATGTTCTCAAGAAAACTATATCAGCTTTCCTAATTTGTGCTTCAAATGTAGCACGAAAATCGCCAGGTTTTGATGTTGAAGGATTAGTTAATGCAGCTTTAATTAAACCTATGATTGGTGAAAGAGAAAAATCAAGAAACGTTTAATGGAAATGAAATACAACATAGGTGGTCTATCGGTTGAGTTCTGCCGCGAGATTGGCAGGTCCTGGGTCGAATCTCGCGAGGTGGGATCGTGGATGCGCACTGGTGATGAGTCCCATACTGGGACGAAACAGCCTTCCAGTGCTTCCAGGTTTTTCATGATGGTTTAGCTTCAATTGACTCATGATCTCAACTATATAAAATTACTAAAATCTCCACACAACCCTTTCAAAGAAAAAAATTCAATAAATAGTCATATATTTTTCTACGTACATCTTTGGATAAAACTAGGCTATGAGAGTTGTATTTACTGCTCAAGGGCTAGTGATACTATTTTTAGGTTGTCTTAAACCCTGGTGAGAAGAGATGAAATCGGAATTTTTCAACAGTAAATGTATAAATCAATTAAACATCATCTTATGTTAAATGAAGCACACTAATTGTACACATTCCATGTGAACACATATATATAGGTACAAGGGGCACCAGATATATATTCTCCACACGAAAACTTGTCATCCCATTTAATTATGTGAGGGCTATGGTACTGCCCAGGTGCCCAGATGAAGCAGGTGGTTTTCTTAGGGAGCTACACCCCGAGCCTTTGATCTAAAGGTCTAATCCACAAGACAGTGGTGCATCATAAGGAGATGCAGTCCCATGGTAGCCGGTGACTAACGATTGATTCATACGCCATTTGTCCCCTCAGCAGGATACTGGAGCCCATGTGCACCATTACTTTGGAATCAGGGTTTTCCAACTCCCGTAGGTGGAATTTCCGTGTCCACTAACCCGGTTAAAGCGTCGGACATTTGCTTTTTGTCCTCTCAATTACGTAAACAACACCCGTGGTGTGAGAAGGCAGTGAGTAGGACTTCACTGGCAGAGGCTTTATAACGCTTGGCAATGTGAGAGCATTTCGAGAGAGGGGGGGGCGCGCCCTTCCCACTCTCAGCCTTACCAGGGTATTCAGGGGCCTAAAGGACAGAACATTTGTCATATTAACGTGTACTTTAGCTGCTTTGAATAATTCTGACTTCAAATTATACGGAATAATTCCTAAGAATGAATGAAAGTCTAAATAATTGCTAACCAAGTGCACATTCTAGTCCCTAGGTATATTTTATATAAAAAAGGGATTGGCCGTGTTGTCCAGACCAACAAAGCTCTGTAATTAAATTATTTAGCTTACAGAATCCATACGAATGAATGGAAGAGAGGATACAAATCAAATGGAATTATATTCACTACTTAATTAAGTACTCACCTCGTATTTTCGATGCAGTTTGTATACGACAACCAATCATTTTACTCACTTCTAAAGGACTATTAAACATACCGCGAATAAATGCGGTTTTTGAAAAAATTTTGAATGGTTCACCAATTAGTTTCAATTTTTTCATTATTTGAAATGATTGATTAGTATCAATGACACTGCCAGTACCAGCGACACGAAAAGCTGGTAAATGTGGATTTTTTGGATCATCAACTGATTGCCAGGAAGAATTCACAAAAGCAATAACTCCAGTTTTTGGTGGTACTAATGGACCATATATAGTTGCTAGACAATGTTCATGTGGTAGTGAATATTTTAGGTAACGTTTACGTAAATTATGCTCTTCTTGTGAAAATACTGTAACAGTTTGATATCGTCTCCAACCAATTGATACGGTTAATGGATCATTTGAACGAAGAACACGTTTAAGCCAACGATGTGTACGAAAACGAATTTGTAGATAGCCAAAAGCTTCTTCAGCACTGGATAAGCCACCAGCAACTAATGGTTGACAGGGATCAAATCGTGTCAGAAATTGATGTGGAACACCTATAATTAACATATTTCAGTGGTGTAAAGATGTTATCGGAATAATTGATTAGTCTAAATAAAATTTATATTATTACATTACGATATAATCCAGCGTATATATATATATATATATATATATATATATATATATATATATATATGCCCCCGAATGCCCTGGTACGGCCGAGAGTGGGAAGAGTCCGCTCTCCCTCTCCAAATTCTCTCACACAGCCACGCGTACACAGCCTCTGTCAGGGAAGTCCTACTCACTGCCTTCTCGTGGCATTACTGTTGTTTACGAAATTGAGAGGATGAAAAGCGAATGTCCGGCGCCTTAACCGGTTTAGTGGACACGGAAAGTCCGCCTACGGGAGTTGCTAAACCCTCATTCCAAACCAATGGTGTACATGAACTCCAGTATCCTGAGGGAACTAATGGCATCTGAATCAATCGTTGGTCACCGGATACCATGGGACTGCATCTCCTTACGATGCTATATTGCCTTGTGGATCAGATTTTTTCGGTAAAAGGCTCTGGGTGTGGCTCCCTAAGTAAACAACCTACTTCGGTTTGGGCATCTGGGCAGTATCGTAGCCCTTACACAAATCGAATGAGGTTTGTGCGGCGCATATGTATGTGGTGCTTCCTTGTACCAATATTTGTGTTTAAATAAAATAAAAAAATATATGGCGATTGATTTATCGGAATAACTCTTTTGTTATTTTGTGCTCTTTTCTTCATTTTCTTTTCCCTAATCGTAGATGATTATAAGTACGAAGGAATCATCATTCTTAAATATGAGGTCCCAGTCCTTATACTAAGAAAATACTGGTTCCTAATATTGCCAATCGCTTTGCAATATCAACCAATTCAAAAAATGCAGGGCATTTTAGCTATGCCATTTACTTAGAGAACTCACTGTTTATTAAAGACAACTCCCACTCAGTCAGTCAGCTACAATGTAGGACCAGGCACATATATGCATCCGTCCAAGTTGTCATACCTCGTTAGCACAACAAAATGAACACCGAATTCATAGAAGTAGTTAATTTAATGGTAGTAATATATAAAAGAAATATTGTATATAATGATATAGTACAGGAAGAAGGATATGAAGCAATTTTAAGGGAAAACAGAGAGTGTACACACCCACACCATTGTGATCGATTCTGAGCCATATCACACCGAGTCTTCAACAACTCTGTGTCTACAAAATTGATAGCTATTATGATGTATACTCCGACAATAATATTATACTTTAAAATGTCACCTACGATTATGCACTTTGTCTGCCTTACATAAATAAAGTCTTTGAGACAACTGTTCAGTTAAAACAATCTACGAATCAAGTCTTGTTCCACTCCTTTTTATGATAACTTGATCATATGTCTGTAAACTAGAGAGTATACCAAGATTATTTTCAAAATATATACTACACTATTATTGTAGGCAATACGCGAATTACAGTTTAACCGCCTCAATGTTTTGCTTTATATTCATTATTAATACATTACAGATATTCAAAGTGTTGAAAAATCTAATGATGAAGTTAGAAAATAACAGTTCCATCCAACATTCAATTGAGTAAAGGGTAATATGTCAAAATTACTCACTTTTGCTTGATACAACGCTACAAATGATTTTTAGTCAAATCCCAGAGAGAGTAATAGACTGTCGTCAGTTTCTATTACTATCTGTACTGTATAGGAACACCACATATTTTCTCTTAAAAGACCTAATCACATATGTGCATCCTGTGCGCACTGCCTCGATATTGCCTGAAGCCACAAGCTTTATAAGCAAAGATGGATAGTGACTAGCAGTGGAATCCAGGACGCCCGTTTCGTCCTATTTGGGACTCGTCAGCTGGATGTACCTGCATCTTAGAGTTGATGTTCACTCTGGGACTCGAACCCAGTACCGTTTGCTTCAAACGCCATCGCGTTATCCACTTAGCTACTGAGTCCTGATAGCCACTGGCTTGTGCAATGGTGTGAAGTTTAAATTCACTTGATGTTGCTTACGTATATCTTCCCATTGTTATTTAGGACTGCAATTGATCAGCCTCTTGTTGGCATATATGCATCCTGTGCGGACTGCTCCGATATTGCCTGAGGTCACAAGCTTTAGAAGCAAAGATGGATAGTGACTAGCAGTGGAATCCAGGACGCGCGTTTTGCCCTGGGTTCGAGTCCCAGAGTGAGCATCAACTCTGAGATGCAGGTACATCTAGCTGACGAGTCCCAAAAAGGACGAAACGCGCGTCCTGAATTCCACTGTTAGCCATTATCCATCTTTGCCTAATCACATAGCCTGAGATTTCAGGAATTCGTATAACAGCTGTTGACTTAATTATTCCTTTGTTTTGTGTAAATGAAGATGGCAGGAAATAGAAAACTTGTAATTTTAACACATTGTCATTTGTATAAATTCCAAATCGGACATATTTTGATACTAAGAAGTTGATGAAAAGAAACCTATTCATTTAGTGAAAAAAGAATGTTGGCATAAATCTACGAATCTATCGAAATGATTGAATTTGGCGAATCCTGATGAAGGACACTTTAAGTGTAATCAAATTCAAACTACATCTAACTGTTTATTCACGTGGTTTGTCTGTCAATCTACATACATGAAACGTAATATTCCCAATATATTTCGTGTAAGACTTCTAATATGTTGTTAATGAAGGTAATGTCCATGTGCAACGACATAAGTCTATGTATTATGTACAAAGTTTAATCGGAATATTAATTTAACATAATCAGAAGGGGTTTTGAGGAGATTTAGTATTTTCATAGTTGAATGAGTCAATTGAAGCTAGACTACCATTGAAAACCTGGAAGCACTGAACGACCGTTTCGTCCTATTGTGGGACTCATCAACAGTGCGCATCCACGACCTCGCCTTGCGAGCGAGATTCGAACCCAGGACCTACCAGTCTCGCGACAGAGCACTTAACCGATAGACCACTGAGCCGGTATCAAACAATGGTAATGTCTAACTTTAACTGATCCACGAAGTTGAGCAACCTTTCACAAATTGTCTTCAGTGAGTTGATATCTCACAACTGACGTGGTTTCAACTCCACTCGTCACTGCTTCTCACTAGGACTCCTGGATTTACCTCTCGAAGTCAGTCACTAGAGAGCATATGATTATTATTATCTGAAGAGGTTTTGTGGAGATTTAGTATTTTCATAGTTGAAAGCGTGAGTCAATTGAAGATAAGTCGAAACCGCTAGAATATAGATGCACTTATTAAAGATCTAACTGCAAGAAAAATGATAATAACGGACAATCGAATATTTAGCTAAGACCTTTAGAATTACTCATCCAGTAATCGACACGAAAAAAAATGCGAAATTCAGCCTACGAAAGACAAATAAATTCTGTACCAAGTACTTAGTCATTCTTAAGTAGTTATATCTGATAGGACACAATCGACATCTCGTCTCCGTGAGGCAATTTCGACTGTGGGATTGGTCATGAGCGCTAAAGTGGCTGTCCGGATAAAGAAACCTAGGTCATCGAAACCTAAGACGCCAGCCAGTCACCCGCCAGTAATCAACATGATTACAGTGGCAATTTTGGTGGTTAAAGATTGTAGGAGCAGCTCACTTACTACTTTCAAGAAATATATAGCCGCGAATTACAAGTTTAATGTCGAAAAGCAGGCAGCACATATCCGCCGTGGTATCGTGCATGGTGTTGAGAAAGGTGCTTTTACTTCATATCCCTATAAACACAAAAAAACAAACCTTTAATTTCAATTCGAACATAAACTCCTGGTGGAAAACCTTCTAATTGATTAACAGCTTCTTCAGGTAAACTTTTTAAAACTTCTCGATTTAATGCTTGTTGTGCTTCACGTGTAGCAACAAGTTTATCATAGAATGCAGTAGCTTCAGGACCACCACCAGCTGCTTCATAAAGTTGGTTAAATAAAGCTTTATGACGTTGTCTTTTCTCTAATATTTTTTGCCGTTTAGTTGGCCGTAGTAAATTCTAAATAGTAGTTTAAAAATAAAGATATTAATCCTCTTTTAAATAAAAATATTGTGACATTAAAGTCATTTAAATAGACAGTATGTTTTAATGTCAAACATTGTGAGCAGGACAGTTCCGCTTATTACATCCTCTGGTTAAGCCAAAATATAAATATACTGCCCCCAAATGCCCTTGTACGGCTGAGAGTGGGGAAAGTCCGCTCTCCCACTCGAAATGCTCTCATATGGCCACGCGTACACAGCCTCTGTCAGGGAAGTCCTACTCTCTTCCTTCTCGTGGCGAGAGTGTGGTTTACGAAATTGAGAAAATGAAAAGCGAATGTCCGGCGCTTTAACCGGTTTGGTGGACACGGAAAGTTCATCCCTGATTCCAAACCAATGGTGTACATGGGCTCCAGTATCCTGAGGGTACAAATGGCGTATAAGTCAATCGTTGGTCACTGGCTACCATGGGACTGCATCTCCTCACGATGCTCCACTGCCTCGTGGATCACGCCTTTAGGACAAAGGCTCCGGGTGTGGCCCCCTGAGAAAACCACGTGCTTCAGTTTGGGCACCTGGGCAGTATCACAGCCCTCACACAAACCTTATTTGATTTGTGTGACACATATGTATCTGGTGACCCTTTGTGCCAATATTTATGTGTTCAAATAAGTAAATAAATAATGTAACTGATTGATAGGTGAATACTGAGAATGATACCACGATTATTCAGATTTTTGTGTTTACTACATTTTATCGCTCAGGTTTTACGATAACACATGGATTAAGTTTTGATGTTAGATGGTTGGAGACAGTGGTTAAATATCATAACCTGATGGTAGCATCTTGAACTGTGATGATAAATTGCAGGAGTTCAAATGTCCCAGAGAGTGCCAGTAAAGTTTCAAATTTCTGATTGCATTGGTCATAATTGATTTAGAAGACCGAAACTGATCAGTTCACGGAAGAATATTAGCTTAATGCATGAATGTTGAAATATCGATTGGGAATTGATATAGCGACTTGACAGCGCAGTTTAAGATACCCGTTTCATCAGGTTTAAAAATCACCAATCGTGTATACTGTTACGTTTGTTCCCACTGGTATTGATGACTTAGTGCTAGAAGTGTTTAGCTTTCTATAAATATTTTGCAGATTTGAACAATGATCCACACATTTTGGTTCGACCAGTTGGATAGTATCATGAGCTTACAGCTAACTACATAAACCAGTACCCGGTGAATGAGTTACATTAAATTTTAAAAAGTGCTTTCATAGGAACCTGGACCTTGTACTAGTTGTTCCAGGAGTCAAAACTTCATTTATTAGTCGAATGAGTTACAATAACTACTTATGGTTTAGGAGATGAAATTCGTCGGCATAGTCAAGCGCAACCAAGTGTTCTTTCAGATGATTTTGACGGTCGAAAAAAATAACAACAACTCTCGTAAGTATGCTTAACCAGGCGGATAGAACTCTCATTTTTAAAACGATAAAAATTGCGCTAAAGCATGAATGTTTTTATTGTTCAGTCAGTCAGTCACAACGTAGAACTTCGTACGTACGTACATCAGTTCGAGTTGCCATACCACATTAGCACAGAGATGAAGTTGTCGATTCAAATCCCATAGTGGTAGAAGTAGTAAGAGTATAGGCAGTAATCGGAAAGATTAAGGTTTGAAGATTTTATTGAAGGAGTATAATCCAATGAAATAAATTCGAAAAGAGAAAAAGGATAGGGACATGAGGAATTCAGAGGATTAGAGTTTGGTAGAACACAGAGTGGATGCAACTTCGCCATTGCAAACGATTTTGAGCCATGTCATTCAAGGTCTCTAACCATCCATTGCTATCATCTCGCGAATCCCAACCAGGTAGTCTACACCTACCAACATGGCTCAGTCCAATTGTCAGTGACTTCATGGATTTGTGCCACGTTTTGGTCTGGCCGCCCATAGCTTTCTTCCAACCTACTCCTACACCATAAAACATTGCACGTCGGGGCAGTTGGTGGTTGGACATACGTAACACGTGTCCCAGCCATCTCAACTGATGAAGTTTCACTACTTCATCAATCGATTTGCCATCCTTACCTAGTACCCGTTTCCTAACATCTGCATTACTTACCCGGTGGTCCCAGGATATACGAGCAATGCTTCGAAGACATCTATGATTGTGTTGGGGATGTCAAATCCCCAGAACTTACTTGATAAGTGGCTCAATTTTGTAATTTTATTTTGGAAATTTGAATTTAGCTGTTTTCGCGCCAAACGTGCTCTTATTACCTTCACATCATATTTCCCACTTGTAACTATCTTAAACGCTATTGGTCCATTGTTTCTTTGTGTGTGCTATTTATTAACGATGCCCAAGGACATTTTGTTGCTGTATAAATACGCTTGACTTTTTCCCTTATTTGATTGCTGTGCTTCTGGCTGCTACTGAATATAACTTCCCCGCTCCAACTTGGACTTCTTACTCTAGTTAGCTGGGTCTGGGTCGCGTCAGTATAGCTAGTTATCGGTCTCTGGTCACGTGTCTTTGTTCCGTTCGCTACTAGTGAATTCGTAACGCTTCAGATATATCAGGTTGAATACTAGTAGCCTACGAATATCCTCTACTCTTATCGGCCATGTTTCACTGCCATAAAGTAGGACGGAAAAAAAGTAATCCTTTCTAAGAATGATATTACTGTTCAAATTGTTTGAAAAGGATTTTATTCGTCAAACAAGTTAATATAAGCACTGACCTTATCGTATTCACTCTCCAAATTTGTTAAGTCTTTTGATGTAATACTTTTATTGTTACTTGTATTATTGTCGTCCTCAGAGTTTGAATCATGAAAAATATTTTCATCATCTGACTCATGATTAAAACCATCTTCATCATTATTCGATTCACCATCTTCAACATCATCATCGTCATCATCACCATAGTCATCAGAATTGTTTTCTACTCTATCAAAATCATCTGAATCATTATCATAAAATGATTGTTTTCCATCGTAAGTATGCTGTACATGACTACCAGATGCGACAGCATATTTTTTAGCCTCATTCATTTTTAATTCTTCACGTGCTTTAGCATCTTTTTCTAATAATGTTTGAGCATCTTCATTTTCACCCCATTGACCAGTGGTAAATAGATTACGAATTAAATCATGAGATGATGAATCCTCCCATGATAATACAGTTGATTTATGAATTGAACAAAGAGTAAAATCATGATCTCCAATGATTGGTTGATTAGAATTTTTAGAGGGAATTTCATTTGTATCTAAGAAAATATGAAATCAATTTCTTGTTTGTAAGATGTATAAATAAAAAAACGATACATAATTCGTTCAGTTTATCAATTATGAATACAGTAGTCTTGAGCGCTGTTAGAGGTAAGAGGGCAGTTATTACTTCCCGGTTGCCCATACCGTGGAAGGGTTCTTCTAGAGGTACCTGAAAAGGAAATTGGGTTAGAAGTGGTCTTAATGACCTGAGAGCGTGACCGCAGTGTCCAAGGGACAACTGCTTGAAGTCGGTCACACACGACCTTTTTGTGGGTAGTTTTTGTGTTAGCTCCATTATTCAAAGGACCTTACCGCCGGAGATGGATATCCGTGGGATAAGGCGAGGTGTGCGCTTTTAAGGTTGACCTTTTCTAACCCCACCCCTCCTTATGGGAAGGCAGCATCGCTGTTATGCTGGTTGTCTGAAGGAAACACCTTACTGCTGTAGCACCTCTGTACGGTCAGCAGTACGACTTCACCTTCGGACCTTGAGTTTGCTGCTTTTAGTCTCACCGCTCTCCAACCGACCTGTCTGGCATGGTAGGATCTTGAGGAACGATTATTCCAGCTAGTATATCTCGATTGGTTCATCACGATAGGCAAGCCCGACCATCACGTTAAGGTAGCAGCAACGGTCCCTACATACAAACTTTCTTTTATATACTACCACTCCTAAATTAACTACTTCTATGAATCCGGTGTTGATCTTGTTGTGCTAACGAGGTATGGCAACTTGGACCGATGCATATACGTGCCTGGTCCTACGTTGTAGCTGACTGACTGACTCAGTTTATCAATTGGTAACTTGAGTTAAGTTCAAGTATCATGTCGAACTTATCAGTATTGACTAAACATCTTCACGATTATAAGGTATTTACCGGGCAAAGATGTCAGTTATTATCTGAATTATTATAAAAATGTTAGTGAAGAAAGCATAATAAACTTGATATAAAACGTTGAATTGTATATGAATTCGGAAATCTACGATTTTGAAGGTAGAATTGTCGTAACCAAATTCTGAATTATCAAGGGGGAAGATGTTATTAATTGATAAGAAAAAATATCAATTGCTAGAATGAATAAAACAAGCTGACCGACCGATGATACGCAATAATACGAAGTGTGGCCAAGTGATGTATACTCAGGAAGACTAGTTAGTGACCTAAGTCCCCGAATGGTTTGAAAATAAAGACAAACCCAATAGCCTGATAAATAAATTTATGATGTGGTAGAATGATACGAACTGGGTGCACTAAGAATAACTGTACTGAAACATATAAATGCCTGAATACTGATGATAAATTTAGATTTTAGTACTCACCACGAAAGTACACATTAGAAAACTGGAAGGCATTTGAGGTCTTTTATGGAAACTATTTACGACCTTCCAGTCTTAATAAGTTCATTAATTGGCAAAACTTCAAATACTTTATAATTCTACCACTTTTTCGTAATACACAACACAAGAACAATATTCTGAGTGGCTTATGCTTGATTAGCTAATCTTAAGGTTATATTTTAAATCACTCAATGGAGTTAGCATAGTATAGTTTTCTCACTATTGTTAGCTTATCAACACGCTTCTTTGTTATTATAAGTGTGCATCTGTAATTTTTCGAGAGAGATTAAGTTCATTTGAAAAGTGAATTGTCAAGTGTAAAACATCAAAACCAAAACTTACTATTATTTATACCATAAACAATACGGTTCCAATTGACTAATGATGCAGTTGTAGATTTCCATTCAATATCTGTAAACAAAAGATCAAATGTTTTTATAGTTCTCAAAGTTATTAATATTATTACTTATGGATTCTGTAAATAGTTCAGTGATATAACACACTTCACATACTAACGTCCTCACTGGGAACAGGTTGGAACGTCTGCTACATATGCCCAAACCAACGCCCACCTCGATGGATGATATCTAGTGTAGGGGTTTGTTAGAAGAAGGCTAGGACCAGCCAAACCAAGACACAGCACCGGGCTATAAAGTCATCAATAGCTGAAATGAGCCATGTAGGTAGATGTACACTAACTGGTTGAAGTCTACGTGATTATTGTAAGCATTGGTTACAGACACTGGGTGATATTGCTCAGAATCGTTCGCCATAGTGCAGCTGCCTTTACTCTTTGTCTTCCCATGAAATCTGAGTCCTGAAATCTATTAATATCTTTTTTCGACGTCTAATCCTTTCTATTACTACTGATTTTGTGACTACATCTACTGGTTTGGGATTTGTCTCTGTCCCAATGTAGTATGTCAACTCAAACCGATTCATGTACGTTTTAGATTCCACGGTACATATGACGATTAACCAATACCTTAATTGTAATCTAATAATAGTCATAAGAATTATTACTACTATAATTACAATCCTGGCTCATTAGCGCCGGTGAGCGCTAATTAGCCCTAATCTAAAATGCAATAATCGTCTAACACTCCCTAGTATTTCCCGGTTCTACACATTATATCCATTTGTGACGAAAACCAACTTCAAAAATTCCTATGAATCCTCAGTATTAACAATAAATAAGTACTTACTACAACCAATATACAGTTCATGAACTAAGAGTTAAATTACAAAAACATGGATCTCACCATCTAAAATTTGTTTTACTTGCATATGTGCACTCTTCAACACTGATGGATCTTGGTTCTTCTTCTGCACGTTTCCATTTTCCTGAAATCCAGCCGGGACAAGAAATCCTGCAATAGGCTCTTCTGAAAATACACGTATCTCATCAGTACACTTGTCAGAGTTCACATCATTTAGTTCTTCCATTGTAACATCATTCATCAAACTGTCGAGATTATGAGAACCATCATGATTATCCACTTCTTCTTTTTCAGATAGAAACGGTGCATTACTGACCATACGAACCTTATGTGTCTTATCTAATCGCTCATCCAACCCACCAGTTTCATTGAAAGTTGCATGTAATTCATCTAACATAGACTGACTAACATTTGGTGTTTGATTACTTCCATGTTGAGATTTACGATTAGTTAGATAGTGACTGCCTCCAAGATCAATATATGTCGCGTCCCGGTCGAAAAGAACACCACCGAGACTTGACATTGGAGCATATATCTAAATAGGAATTGAAGTCTTAGTAATAATAATAATAATAATAATAATAATAATAATAATAATAATAATAATAATAATAATAATTTGTATTTATCATACTATGTAATTTACAACGGTGGCTCAGAAGTTGAGTTTTGTGTGAGAGCCGGTGACATTATCTAACACTCCAGACCAAAGTAGAAAGTGGTACTTAACTGTGATCTAGAACTTTCCTAGAAAAATTACTGTTTTTCTCCTTAGCTGAACTTACTTATGACATACGTTCGATTTCTATCTACAATTATAGAGGACAACATAGATTATGAATCACTTGTTTATTAATACAGGTTAACGTTCTTAACTTTGAATCATATTTTTTGTATATGTGAGAGCTATTGATGCATCATGTGAATAGAGTTTTCTGTTTGGTTGTTGTTTGAATAAAAAAACGAATCTTGTCACAATGTGCAAAACATGTACCAAATTATCAAGAAAGCTCAGCGTGAATTCTTTGTTACAGATGTTCACTGCTGGTGGTAGGATGTGCAAAATATACTATGGAAACTTGCCATTTCCACTCCTCGCTAACCAGTAATGTGAACAGTCTTTCGCATCAGATAATATAATTATAGCCTTTATCAGTTTTACACAAGATAATATGAGAGAGAAAAAAGCTTTTCTCATGGTGCACAGGATACTCACTAAACTGATAGTTACCCGCCAAATACTATACGCAATACCCTGGCACTCAGTAACTAACACTTAATATACTAATAGAAAATTAAGATATCAACAAAAATATACATTACTTTTCGATCACGTTCAGACAAATGTCTTGTTGGTTTCACAGGATCAGTACTGTTAGAATGAGTGGACATACCCGGTAATGGGCAGGGATCAGGTTGTTGAGTGCATTCAACTAAAGCAAAATCACCAAGTCCTGCAATGTGTATCCCAGGAGACATTAATGCTGGAGGTAAGGGGGCACCACGAACCCACCCGTACAAACTAATACAACGATCAGTATTTATGTTGTTAGACAACATTTTGCTGTCCGTTACATCTTCTATTCGATCAATTAGTAGGTAAGGATGAGAGCTACGCCAATCTGAAGGGCGAGGAGTTTTGACCATTATTAACCGAGCCAAACGTCTGACTTCGTTTAGCAAATAATCACCTGGAGCGTCGCTTGCATTCCGTCCATCAGGTTTATGAGAGGAAACTAAAAATATAAAGTATACAGCATAATGACTGTATTATCATGATAATACAGCATAATGTGATACTGGTAGGGCCATCGAAAAGAAATACTAGTTTTAGAAAATTATTTGCAAACACTGAGTAGTACATATTAATTAAATGTTGGAGACACTACCAGATTGCTTAAATCAAAGTAGGTTGAAAACGGTTCTATCCTGCGAATATAAGATCAGAGGAAGTATTAGGTTCATCCATAACAACATCGAATAAACGGATCTTATGGAAGCTGGAAACTAAATTAGATTTCTGCGTTTTAAGTATTTGAAGACCATGTGAACTATTTGCTTTAAAGTTAAGGTTTTGTAATCCCAGCAAGTGAATTCGTTGCATTCTCCAGATTGATTTAAGCTCATGATTTTTATCCTTTTAATTACGTCCAAACACTCCATCATGTGTACACAGAGAGCTGATATTTCCCAAGTATTATTAATGGGAGATTATATTAAGACATTATCAGATAGAAGCAAACATCTTTCTATGTATTAAGGCACTTCTGAGGTTAGATGCGACCCGATACACGACATATACACGGAATCTGAGCTAAACCAGTGGTTTTGTTAGATTATGCGAGCTATAAACGCGAAACGTATATATCTACTGAGATGAGTATAACTCCAAATCTTGGAATTGGACAAGTGTACAGAATACATCATGTAATCAAAACGTTTAGATTAGTGATCACTTGAGTTCATTGGTTTTACAGTCGAGAAACTATGGTTTTATGCATAACCAGTATATTTCATTGATGTAAATCAGAAATAATTAGATCTAACACATTTGCCAATTTTAATAATAGCAACAGGTTGCTTTCTAGTCTATTTGATTATTGTTAGCTTCAAGATCCGGACGAAAATAACAAAAGTTAGACTTTAATTAGTCATTAGTATGAGTGCTGAATAAAAACAAATAGGTTGTTCATGACCGAAGCTTCCTGCCCAGTGAGGGATACATAGCTAATAGATAAGTAAGTTACTACCAGTCATTGTGAAATATGAAATAATCGTTAAGTGCCAGGGTCTATTAACCAAATGTTTAAAACGGAGAATAAGCCAGATGTGCCTCAAAACTTACATTTTTTCGCTTGGAAACGTGTGAGGAGAAATATTTTGGAGTTAAGATCGGTCCATAGGCGATGTTTAATTTTTCTTCGAAGTGCACGAGAAGAGCTAGAATCCTTAAATGTATCTAAGTGATTTAAAACAGGGATAACTCTCGGCATTCCATGAGCTTGTATCATATTAATGAATTCAAAATGATACATTTCTAATCCTGCACGGACATTGACGAGTAACAAAACGACATCAGCGATCTTCGCAGCATCTAACATACTGTTGATTTCACAACCACATTCAATGAAAGTAAATCTTTCCTTCTTACCGACTACTACAGTCACTGGACCTTTAATGACACCAAGTGACAAATGTGCAAAGTGTCTTAATAGTCCACGAAGAAGTGTGCTTTTGCCTGATTTCGGAGGCCCGACAATTGCAACTATGTATGGTGGGGAAACAGCCGAAACATATTTGGACTGTAATAAATGATGTCTTTTAGTCTGGTGATCAAGTGTACGCTGGACTAGGCGCGACGCTTTAGTTGTGTGTTGGACAGCAAATGCCTTAGGATTATTCGCTACTGCTGACTCCCGTGAAGATTTTTTCTGAGATTTACGACCGCTGACACGTGGACGATGCTTTTTGTTAACATCCTTGTCACCAAATTTATTAGGATCTTTTAACACCATTGAAGCAAACGTAAACTCCCCCAGTCAGAGTCTACAGTTTGGAGCGCAACACGAATCCAGATGCACGTGTATCAGGATAGCTTGAATACACGCTAACCTTGGCCGATCAACATCCCAATGACTGAAATCATGGTGGAAGTAGTTCTCTGTGTAGTAAAAATCTAAGATAATTTCAATTCTTGCGAACAAAAACATTTTTGGGTTGTATTATCGTCATTCAACGTATGATTGGGTATAAACCTAAGGTTTTTTTCAAGTGGTTCTGGACGGGACTTCTACGGATGGACTACTTTAGACTTTGAATTGTAAATGGTAAGTTCATTATTATCCACGTGACATCGAAGTCAAGTCAAATCCTCCTGAAGTGCGAGCATGTCATCTTGGTTGAGAACGTGTCTCCAGAGTTTCACACCATCAGTGAAAAGTGATAAATCTGACGATACTAGCTGTGGAAGATCGTTTACATAAATCAATAAAAGAAGACGTCCTAATGCTGAACCCTGGAGGACCCCACTAGGATAATTCGTGCGTGAGAGAAAGTGGAGTTAACCCTGACCTTAAAAGCCGACCATTTAGATATAAAGTAAGCCGATCAATTAATATTGGCTTGATACCTATTCGTTTTAGATTGTTGATAAGACGTATATGGTTGGCCCTATCAAAAGCTTTTGGGAAGTCAAAGTGAATGACTTCAACCTTCCTTTGCGACCAAGGATGATTGTCCATCTGTTCACCGTGGTCAGCAGGTTGGTCATACAACGGTGACCTTTCATGAAACCGTGATGTTGGGCTGAAAAGAATCATATGGTAAGTGGTTATGTAAACCATCGCGTATCAGGGACTCCATAACTTTTGAGGGTATTGAGAGAAGTGCTACAGTCTAACAGCTTGAAGGTTCGCCGCATCGACCTTCTTTGAAAATTGGTGTGATGTGAGCTATCTTCCAATTATCTGGTAATGTGCCTCGGCTTAGCGAATATGAGAAAACCACACAGAGGGATTTCGCCATGATTGAAGCCACTTCCCCCAAAATATATCGTAATGAACCGCATCCGGATCAAAAGAAGCGTCCTTGTTTAAATGCAGCAGTTTCTGGTACACCGGGTGAGAGCTCGGGTCCACTTCTGAGAGTCCTATTGAGTCGTGGGCGAAGCCCTCGTCGATGTGCTTAGTGTGGAACGGTCGGAATGTCTGAAAGTGCTGTCCTTTTGGAAGGTCTGTGGCGTCACTATTCCCTCTGGTTGGGCCATCAGGATCTACTGTAGATTGACCTGTTAAGCTGACATATCCAACCGTTTGTAATTCACACACCTGTTGTTCGCACGACGTTATAACTCAGTTTTGCCGACAAAATAGAAGGCCATGACTGTATTATTATTTCTACACGTGAGAGCCAGGACTAAGTGGTTTTCAGTCAGGAACTCTTCGTTCATAAAAATTCAGTTCAAATATGACGGCTTCTGACTGTCTTTTCACCGAGTTGCTAACCCTAAATTTTCGAATAATCGTAGATTTTCAATGAAGTTGAAGAAGCGAGCTTCAGTAGAGTTGTCACCTCCAATGTAAGTGTGTTCAGAGAAGCTGATCTTATGAAGATTGAAATATCTTAGAATCAGTATGTTAGTGTATCCGGGATAGTCCCTTCAGCATACGATTGTCGTATTCAGTGTCAGCAGTGAACGTCCTGTAGATGACTACAACTATATACCTCGAGGTGTCAGACAGTATTACTGAGCACCATGGGGATTCACCAAGATTGATAAACTCCTGAGTGCGCACATGATGTACCACCAAGCAAAATTGTAGGCACAGGGCTACTGCACTACCAATTCCTGTTTTTGTCTTTGCAAACACAAATACATGTTAGGTATTGATAGTTCCTGTCCGTAATCTGAGATGACCATGTTTCAGATATTTCTATCAGATCAGTATTATTAGCACTACTTAATTCACGCAACTCCTCCATTTTATTGGGTCAACGTACGTTGTTCGCACATAGGCAGCTAATGATTTCAATTTGAAACACGCAAGCTTCATCGTTCTGTTTATCCTAATGGACCTGGTGTCAAGGCACTTATCTACACAGAGTTTTATCAGTTGACAGCCCCTGCCTATTCTACATTTTTTCATTGTCCTTGAAGGAAGTATCTCGAGCCCTTTAATCTGACATGACAACTGATAGTGAAGCATTTGGCTCTAGCCCTTCGTTTACAACCTGCCTAGTACAATACTGATGTATTATGTCGCTCCTAGTTCCCTCCACTCAAACAGACCACTGATTCGTTTCAATAACAAGTCTACTCAAATGAACACCCACTCAAAACAGAACACTAATGATCTCTCACAAAAGTGCTCATAATTTATTTCGAGGTCCGAATCAGTAGGCTATGGAACTCTACACGAAGTTATGGTGGGGATACTCTTCTGAATCATTATGTAGAGGACTTAATGATTACCTTAGTTCTGCTGGTACCAAGGGGAATCGCTCTAACTTTTCGACCTAAACACTATTATCATTAAATACATTCAATTTCCAACAAGAGTATAACGAGGGGTGTATGGCTCCTAGATTTAGAACTTTCTCAGACCACCTAGGTGCGGATCCCAAAGAACAAACAGTTTGCTAATTCTGCCACGTAAAGTTGAAGGTACTACAGAATGTTTGGAGAATATGTACACTTCATGCATGCCTATTGGTTGACAGACGTAGGGAATAAATCCATGAATGAGAAACGAATTTGGAACGTAAGTCAAACGAATAGGCTTTTATGTCATCCAATATAAGTGCGTAGCTGTTGAGCTCACTGCATTGATGAGGATGTGTGAAACAAAAGTCTTAATTCACTTTGCATGTGCTCTAGTGACAGATGCAACGTAAAAATACAAGTTTGAACACGAGGTGTGCTTAGTACCCTTTGGGGTCCAGCATGATTCCGGTTAAATGTATATCCTATATATTTCACATTCTGGAGTCAAATCATGTTGACACAATATGGATAATGCAAATCAGGGGCGAATTGCAAATAGGATGTATCTACTTCAGATATACTAATTCTGGACGGCAGGCAATCTTTAAAAAGACTGCATTTTGATGGTACTCCGACTTAGATAACAATGTGACGTAGTTCTTATCATTGTGAAGGGGATATGAGTTACTATGCAGATCACTAATCCTGGCGATGTATGTCGGCGATTGGAGGCTTTTTTCAGCTGGATGAGGACGTTATGACCTCCTCACTTATGTTGGCGCCACACCTTGAGTTTCATGCGTGATTTCCGTCGCTTTTTAGTCGTATTCATGTTCTATGGCCAACTTGATAATCACGTAGAACGAACGTAACGATATTGCAGAAATGTATTGTAAGAATAGGTAAAAGAAACTGAGTGAGACTGCTGCCGTATGTGTTAGTCCATGACGTGCAGTTGATTGATGTGGGTTGGTTGTCTTTGATTTTGATGAGGATTGACGAACTTTTGATACTTAGAGACGTGACTGTCGGATTATTTGAATACGACCCAAATACATTTCACTGGCTCTTCAAACACATAGACAAGTACTTACCATTCTAAGCGTATAAATAGTGCTAGAGGTTACGCGCCACTTATGTGCGACGGAATAAAAGGAAGTATAAAAATAACTTTTCTGTCCTGAAGTAGCCCAGATGTTTAAACAGCCCTCCAATAAAAAATAGTAATGAGGAACACATCTTGTTATAGTCTTCCAGAATTTGTTTCGCCTTTGAACTCTTTCTTAAGAGAACTTTGAACATCGTTGCGATGTCGGGGCGTGTTGCTTTAAGTCCTGTGCTTCAAAATGATATAGAGACGCTAGCTAGGAGAGTATAACTAAATGTATCTAGAGGTTTCATTGCGTGGCTGGAGGGATTTGTGTGGCTGGTGTAAGGGAAAGAAAACGTTGAAAATTCTTCCACAACATTTCATCAGGCGATTCCGTCATTTATTTGTTTGTTCTCCCTGCCTTGTATTTTAGCCTTTACTTAGGTCTCTTTTTAACCACGAATTGCATTCTTCAGTCCTCCTTGTCTGAGCTTTTGTTATTTGATATCACCGGCTGTACCGTTTGAGGTGCTTTATACTTTTCATATAATTTTTTTTCTCTTTCTTAAACTAGGACTGTTTAAAGTCAACACAGAATTTGTGAGTCTATATAACTTAATACGAAACACTCAGAAACTCTTTGTAAGCTATACGGGAGAACGTAGTCTGGGCTTGTCAAGCAAATCTGGTTTTTCAGTATTGCGTTTTAACCGAATATTGATATTTCGTTCGTTACTAATATGACATATAAAAAGCCGCTTGTGGCAACTGGTAACGATCCCAAAAGAACCAGATTGGACACCAAGTACTGCAACCGTTTCGTGGGTGTGTGATTCTATTTACTTTGTCACTTGGTTGATTCAGTAAAAATCCAAAGAGTTCGGATAAATACGTGGCTCTCACCATACAAACGATCTAAAACGGTTATAAGATTGCAGCAAATTATTGACTTAAACTCACTGAAGCTTCTGAAATACTGTTTTCGTTGCTTGGTAGTGGAACTCAAATATTGGAAATTAGACTGGCAGTGAGTGAAAGAAAACATACCAAGGGAGAGTTCATAGTGTAAAATAGGGTTAAATGTTAAATGAAGAAACAAGATGAAGAATTAGACCCAGATAACTACTCAGTTCTTACTTGTATTGCTGGGCAATGTGTACTTACGTCAATTAAAGACCATATTTACTAGCGCTTGATATTTTGACAAGTTTATTTCCATGAAGCATGTAAATGCCACTAAAACATTTTGGTGAATCATCATAGCTAGTCATAAATTTAAACGACCAGTTATTAGTGCCAATCTAGCCAGTAAGCTATAAGCACCAATCACCATCACAATACGATAATACACGTGAGCAGTAATCAACAGACAAATGGAATAATGGGTTAACACAAGTAAAGATCGATCAACTAAGTTAAAGTGAAAATGAGAATTAATAACGGGATGCGTTTCTTTATTCGGTCTCACCAGTGTATGTTTATCGTCTAGTTCGATATTAATATTACTATAATAATAGACCTAGTCTCGAAATTTC